GTGGTCGGGTAATGTTGAGGGGTGTAGATGCAGTGGTCGGGTAATGTTGAGGAGTGTAGATGCAGTGGTCGGGTAATGTTGAGGGGTGTAGATGCAGTGGTCGGGTAATGTTGAGGGGTGTAGACGCAGTGGTCGGGTAATGTTGACGAAATGTTGAAAGACACATCTTGCTTACTTCCCTTCTACATCGGATGTCCAGCAGGGCCATCAGCAGAGAATTGGTGGAAACCAGTGGGACCCGGGTACTCCCATCTACTGTCCAGAGACGTCTGGCCAGAAGAGGTCTCCATGGAAGAATTGTGGCCAAATATCCAGACCTCCGACATGGAAACAAGGCTATGGGACCCAACTATGCAGAACATAGGAAATGGGGGGCATAGAAATGGCAGCAGGTGTTCTGGCCTGATTCCAGAGTCCAAATGTGAAATATTTATCTGTAGCAGGAGGCAGTTTGTTGACAAAGGGCTGGACAGCGGGACAATAATGAGTGTCTGCAGGCAACTGTGAAGCATGGTGGAAGTTGCTTGCAAGTCTAGGGCTGCATTTTTGCAAATAGAGGAGCTGGAGATTCGGTCAGGATCAATGGTGTCCTAAAAGCTGAGAAATACAGGCAGACACTTATCCATCATGCCATACCATCAGGGAGGCGTGTGATTGCCCCCACATTTATTCTGCAGCAGGACAACCCCCCCCCCCCCCAAACAGACAGCCAATGTCATTAGGAACTATCTTCAGTGTAAAGAAAACAAGGAGTCCTGGAAGTGATGGGTCGGCCCCCACAGAGCCCTGATCCCACCATCATGGAGTCGATCTGGGATGACATGAAGAGACAGAAGGATTGGAGGCGGCCGACATCCACAGAAGATCTGGGCTTAGTCCACCAAGATGTCCATAGAACAACCTACCTGCCGAGTTCCTTCACTGTGTGCAAGTCTACCTAGAGGAAAGCAAAGAGGTGGATGAGGGGGGGGGGGGTCACACCAAATACTGATTGGATCTGGATTTCTCTTCTTGATTTACTTTCCATTTTGTTAATTGATACAAAATTATTAACCCTTCGATTTCTGAAAGCCTTCTTCATTTACAGCTCCAGTGTTCATGGGAACCCATTTCATATACACAAGTATAGCTTTTTCCTGGCTGGAGCTCCACTTGGCCCATCCCAGTTTTTTTTTTTTCTATGGCATAAAAATGGCAGCAGATGTTCTGGCCTGATTGCAGAGTCCAAATGTGAAATATTTAGCTGTAGCAGGTGGCAGTTTGTTGGCAAAGGGCTGGACAGCGGGATAATAATGAGTGTCTGCAAGCAACTGTGAAGCATGGTGGAAGTTCCTTGCAAGCCTGGGGCTGCATTTTTTGCAAATAGAGCTGGAGATTCGGTCAGGATCCTCAAAGCTGAGAAATACAGGCAGATACTTATCCATCATGCCATACCATCGGGGAGGCGTGTGATTGCCCAGCAGGACAACCACCCCCAACATCCAGCCAATGTCACTAAGAACTATCTTCAGTGTAAAGAAAACAAGGAGTCCTGGAAGTGATGGTTCGGCCCCCACAGAGCCCTGATCCCACCATCATGGAGTCTATCTGGGATGACATGAAGAGACAGAAGGATCGGAGGCGGCCGACATCCACAGAAGATCTGAGCTCAGTCCTCCAAGATGTCCATAGAATGACCAACCTGCTGAGTTCCTTCACTGTGTGCAAGTCTACCTAGAAAAAGGCAAAGTGGAGGGGGGGGGGGGTCACACCAAATACTGATTGGATTTGGATTTCTCTTGTTGATTTACTTTCCTTTTTGTTAATTGATACAAAATTAATAACCCTTCGATTTCTGAAAGCCTTCTTCATTTACAGCTCCAGTGTTCATGGGAACCCATTTCATAGTACACTGGCTGCATACTGCAGAAGCACAAATGGAGATGAGGCACATAGTTCAATAGTTTGTCCTGTATACATACACAAATTATTAAAACATACATGCAGACATACATGTTCAGCACAAGACAGTCTCTATTTATCGCATTCTTCATAGAGCTGTAAACGTTTTACAAAGACCTTTTGTTAGTGGAGGTTACAGACCGCAAGCTTTGGTTCATGATGGTCATGAGAGTACATATCTGTGCAACACAGAAAAGCAAGTTCAAGCAGCAGGCAGGTTTGATCTGGGCATGCAAGTACTCATGACGCTCCATCGTCCTCCTCAACATCAGCCAGTTCGGAGTCCTTCAGAACCTCCCCACTTGCTTGCTTTCTTATGTGTGGAAGCAATTATTTAGATGATTTAAACTGGGACATTAATAGGTTTCCCGGGGCTGACATGGACCTTTCTTCTCTTCTTGCACATTCAAAGGGATTGCCAAACGAGCGTTTCCTCAGCATTGCTTTCACTAGGATCACAGCTGTCAGACTCGGGATAAGTTTAACTGAATTCTTTACTTCTTCCTCTGTCACTTCAACTACCACCTCTATGCCGACGACACACAAATCTATCTCTCGACCCCCCACCTCACCCCTCGGTCTCAGCCCGAATCACACACCTACTGAGCGTCATATCAGACTGGATGTCGCTCCACTTCCTTAAATTGAACCTCTCCAAAACCGAGTTTCTTGTCTTCCCCCCACCCCGGACACCACCCCCCATTGATTTCTCCATCACATCCAACAACGCTACCATCAAACCCGCCCTGCAGGCCAGAGTACTTGGTGTCATTCTGGACTCCAACCTATCCTTCCAGCCCCAAGTCCAATCTTTAACAAACTCGTGCAGACTCCACCTCCGCAACATGCCGACTCCACCTCCGCAACATGCCGACTCCACCTCCGCAACATGTAGACTCCACCTCCGCAACATGCCGACTCCACCTCCGCAACATGCCGACTCCACCTCCGCAACATGCCGACTCCACCTCCGCAACATCGCCAAAATCCGCACGTTCCTAACCCCAGAAACCACTAAACAGCTCATCCACTCCCTCATCATATCACGACTCGACTACTGCAACTCCCTCCTCACTGGCCTGCCTCGCCGCTGGCTATCCCCGCTTCAGTCCATCCTGAATACGGCTGCCAGACTCATTCACCTTTCCAACCGCTCCATTTCCGCCACCCCCCTCTGCCAATCCCTCCACTGGCCTCCACTCAGTGTCCTCCACCCCCCTCTGCCAATCCCTCCACTGGCCTCCACTCAGTGTCCTCCACCCCCCTCTGCCAATCCCTCCACTGGCCTTCACTCAGTGTCCTCCACCCCCCTCTGCCAATCCCTCCACTGGCTTCCGATTGCGCAACGGATCAAATACAAAATCCTAACACTGACGTACAAAGCCGTCCACCATACTGCCCCGAACTACATCACTGACCTAATATCCAAGTACCACCCAACACGCACTCTCCGCTCCTCACAAGACCTCCTTCTCTCTAGTTCCCTGGTCTCCTCCTCCCATGCCCGCCTCCAGGACTTCTCCAGGGTGTCACCCATCCTCTGGAACTCCCTGCCCCAACCCATCAGATTATCACCTACTCTCCTCTCCTTTAGGCGCACCCTGAAAACCCATCTCTTCAGGGAAGCCTACCCCACCCCCTGCTAACTTGCCGACCTCCTCCACTCTTCCTACCACTCCATCCCCCACAGCTATCTCCTCCTGTGCCACCATCCCCTCCCTCCTAGATTGTAAGCTCGAAGGAGCAGGGCCCTCGATCCCCTCATGTTTTGCATTGTATTGTTATTGTTCTGTCACATGTTCTGTCCCCCTCTGTAATGTACAGCGCTGAGCCAACTATTGGCGCTTTATAAATACTGTATAATAATAATAATAATAATATACACACAGGGGCGGACTGACCATTTGGGAACCCGGGCACCGCCCGAGGGTCCGGGGTCAGTAGGGGGCCCCATGAGATGCTTTGGTACCTTTCATAGGCTTTTTTTGGGTGTGGTTTAAGTGTGGACGAGGACACAGGGGCCCCATGATCCCCTATTGGCCGGGGGCCCCATGAGTTGTCAGTCCGCCCCTGAATACACAAGTATAGCTTTTTCCTGGCTGGAGCTCCACTTGGTCCATCCTAGTATTTTTATTGTTTTTTTTTTTCCTTTGATATAAACAGAACTCATCTATTCTTTACTTACCATTTAATTATAAAAATGATCCAGAAGTAAACAATGTGAGCAATACATGGAGGCGACCATCTCATAGACTGATTCTTTATTGACCTCGTAAAAAGCGCACACATAAAAACATCCAGGGCTCGGAGTTCATTTCACCATTTTAGAATTTTTGATACAATGAAAAAAATACTTTTTTTTTTTTCTTTACTATGAATATACATATTCTTATCCTGCTGCAAATAAAGAAGCTTACAATAGCTTCATAGTGCGTACATATTGGCATTTTTTTTTTTTTTTTTACAAGTCGGCTGTATCAGTTGCGTTCGTTCTGAGCGTAGGCCGTTGGCGCAAGGAGAGGAGGGAGAATGATACAGCAACTTGGAGGAACGTAAAGCTGAGATTTCGGATTCGCTAAAGAAAAAAAAAAACAAAAATACTATTTGAAATACTCGAAAGATATTAAATAAAGTATGTACATCACTGAAGCCGGTTTGGTGGACACAGAACAATCGATTTGTAAAAGAACGAACAAAAAAAACCAAAAAATTGTACTTAGGACACGCGGTCTGAGGTTGTGCTCTGAGATTTCAAGAGCTGCCTCTCTGCAAAGACCCTGAAAAAGGAAACAAATGACCCAACGGATCGGGATACAGAAACGGGAAGAGTCTGTCCCGGATGGCTGTGGGTTGGGATGGCCATTGTGGTGAGCGGAACCGCCGTGCAGTCATGACATTTATAAGCAGAGTCCCGTCCTCCGGAGGAGCGTCAGCCCCCCCCGAGTATCAGTCGCTGTGTTCATTCTGAGCTCTCACGCCAGCTCTTCGCTCCAACGTCCAACCAGTAAATTCCAGTGCCTCAATGCTTCTTTGGTTCGTGCCATGCTGGCCGGACTGGCTAAGCTTTGGGTTTCCTGTTTTTTCCTACGAAGGAATAAATAGATATTTTAGTCGTAAGGGCAGCACAGCGGCTAAGTGGTTAGCACTTCCCCCTGGCAGTACGAGGGTCGTTGGTTCGAATCCCAACCACAGCACCACCTGCCTGGAGTTTGCATGTGCTCCCTGTGCCTGTGCGGGTTTCCTCCGGGTACTCCAGTTTCCTCCCACACTCCAAAGACATGCTGGTAGGTGAATTGGCTCCTGTCTAAACTGGCCCTAGTATGTGTATGTATGAATGTGAGTTAGGGACCTTAGATTGTAGGCTCCTCAGGGGCGGGGACTGATGTTAATGTATAATATATGTGTAAAGCGTAAATTGACAGTCGCTATATTTATTTATTTATTTCAGGTACTTATATAGCCATCAATTTACGCAGCGCTTTACATATATATTGTACATTCCCATCAGTCCCCGCCCCCGATGAGCGTACAATCTAAGGTCCCTAACTCACATTCATACATACACATACTAGGGACAATTTAGACAGGAGCCAATTCACCTCCCAGCATGTCTTTGGAGTGTGGGAGGAAACCGACCCACACAGGCACAGGGAGAACATGCAAACTCCAGGCAGGTGGTGCCGTGGTTGGGATTCGAACCAATGACCCGAGTACTGCCAGGCAGAAGTGCTGACCATTTGTGCTGCCCATATATGTGCTATATAAGTACCTTTAATAAATAGTCCTGACTTTATTAACCTCTTTCTGTCCGGCCCATGTACATAAACGGCTGGACAGGAGCGGGTGACCATTTATAAACATCCTCCCGCTTCCCTGCCTGTGCGCGCTCCCTGACAGCGCGCAGCACTGAACACCGATCACTGCACAGGATCTCTGTTTGAGGTCCCGATCATGTGATCACTGATTGGCCAATCAGGGATCACATGCAGAGTAGTAAGCAAGATGTCACTTCTGACATCATTGCTTACTACATGTAAAAAACTGTGAATGATCACAAAGATCACATGGAACAGGGCTATTCACAACAGCCTTGTACCATGTGACAAGCTGTGACCAATCACAGCTCATACAGTATTTCTCAATGGCTGCAATAATGCAGCCAGAGAGAAGGAGAAATGATTCCTCTTACAGCCTTTATGGGTATAAAAGCAATCAGTGTAACAAAAAAAAACAATCTTCATCACCCCCACAAGTAGTAGGAGGGGAGACTGAGGAAATGCTTCCTCCTCCTTCTACAAAGTTACAATGTACGGTCTGATCACTGGGGGAGGGGAGACTGAGGAAATGCCTCCTCCTCCTTCTACAAAGTTACAATGTACGGTCTGATCACTGGGGGAGGGGAGACTGAGGAAATGCTTCCTCCTCCTTCTACAAAGTTACAATGTACGGTCTGATCACTGGGGGAGGGGGAGACTGAGGAAATGCTTCCTCCTCCTTCTACAAAGTTACAATGTACGGTCTGATCCCTGGGGGGAGGGGAGACTGAGGAAATGCTTTCTCCTGCCTGCAGCTGACTGATGACATCATGTTGTCCGATGCAGCTGCTGTATATTATGATTTGTCAGGATTTATGAAGCTACAATATCCAGACTATAATCAGGTGAAGGCGACACAACTTACAGGCTGAGTTTCCTGGCCTGAGCTTCTTTGCTCCCATTGGCTTTCTGTTCCGCTGCGTTTGCTGTGACTCGGGAGGAAGTCGTGGCCGCGCCGGGGAAAGCCACAGAGGCGCTGGCGCTGCTGGTCCTGACTTTGAGTGAGTCCTCTGAAAGACACGGCTGCAGCTTTTACATGCCCCAGGTACATATACAGCATAGAGGAGACGTACATAAACACATATATATTATACAATACGGGATTCCCAACGTGATCGCCACCTCGCGGTCACACCCCCACCCCCACACACATCACCTCATAGCACCACACGCTGAGGTCTGAGATGGATTTGTGCTTAAAATGCCTTTAAAATACTTATTTTCTCTTTGCAGTGCTCTGTGACGGCGGAGCTGAGTGACAGCCACACCCCTCAGTGCAGGGAAGGGGAGGAGGGGGCGTGTCTAACCAGGTCCGGTCTATATGGTGATAGCTGTGTGCGGTGAGTCCACCTCCGGCGCCTGCTGGACTCTGCATTCCTATTCAGACTGCTGTAGATGAAGGGAACATTTACAAAAATGGAGGATATTACCTTTAAAGTGGTTGTAAAGGCTCACGTTTTTTTTACCCCCCCCCCCTCCCCAGTACTTACCTGAGCCTCATCTTATAAATAAAAAAAAAATGTTGGCTTTAATATCACTATAAAGCTGAAGTTTATCCCTGATTATTTTAAACATCAACCACCTCCTTCCTAAATATGATTACCCTATAACACAATCAACACCTTCCCCTGAAAGTGTACACAAACTATATACGTGACAGTGTTATTTAAACAAATGCTCCAAAACAATAATACCCAATTTTGCGTAAGGTGAATCCACTACCAATATATAGTCCACTATAAATTTTATGCAAAAAAAATGTCCCAAATTCTTCCAACGATATTCCAAAACACAGTCCACCTCAAAAAAAAGAAAGGAAAACTCATATAGTGCATTATCCTTTTATAAAAATTATATACTTAAACTTTAATTGTGCTTCCTATAGTGAAAAATACGTGAAACAATAGTGAAAAAACGTGAACCACACGTGATCCGTGAAAAACCACCCTTCAGTGTAGACACAACACTGGTCATTCAGGTCAGCCCATAACTAATGTGAATGTTAGATGAGCGAACATCGAACCAGCGAACCGAATTCGATTTTGTCGAATTTCAGAAATATTCCGATATCGCCTCGAAACCGAAATTTTTATTAGCCTACTTTCGGGGTGGACTTTGCAAATCGAAACATTTCCCTATCAGCCCTAGGCAAAAGTGTCCCCTGCAGTGAGCTCCGCTATTTCTGACAGTTCTCTGACAGAAGAGAACACATGTTTAGCGTGTTGAAACATTGTATCTATTATATTTTCATTTAGGATACAGATGATTTTCAAAACCGCTTACATGTACAAGAAGCTGTGAGAGAACTGTCAGAATAGAGGAACTCTGCAACATACACCTTTTATGCCGGCTTGGAATTATTCTTATTTTCATCCTACTTCTTCTTCTTCTTCTTCTTCTTTCATCCTCATCCTCAAATAAGAAGAGGCTATTTCTGAGGATGAGGAAGAGTGATGAAGAAGAAGAAGAAGCAGTAGATATGAAAATAAAATAATTCCAAGCCGTTCAAGTAGGCCAAAAAGAGGTATGTGCAGGTGAGATCCCTCTATTCTGCAGATACACTAGAAGGAGCTCTGCACATACACTTTTTGCCTGTTTGGAATTAAACCTTATTTCATCCTTCTACTTCTATCTATCTTCATCTTCTTCTTCTTCTTCTTCTTTAACCTCATCCTCAGAAGAAGAAGAAAGAGGATGAAGAAGAAGAAGAAGAAAGAAGTAGGATGAAAATAAGAAGCAAATTTCCAAGCCGGCAAAAAGTGTATGTGCAGAGCTTCCTCTATTCTGCAGATACAGCATAGAGAGCTCTGCACATACACTTTTTGCCGGCTTGGAATTATTCTTATTTTCAATGCTCCTACTTCCTTCCTTCTTCTTTTTCTTCTTCCCTCCTCCTCAGAAGAAGAAGAAGAGGATGAGGAATAGGAGATTGAAGAAGACAAGAAGAAGAAGAAAAGGATAGGATATGAAATAAAATAATTCCAAGCCGGCAAAAAGTGTATGTGCAGAGCTCCTCTAAGTGTATCTGCAAGAGCTCCTCTAATTGATCTGCAGAATAGAGAGTGAACTCTGCACATACACTTTTTTGCCGGAAACCGCTGTATGGAGGGAATGTCCCAGAACTGTCAGAAATATGTCTATTTCTGACAGTAGTTCTGGGCACATTTCACTCCAATTATACAGCTGTTTCACTAACCGCTAGTAACTGGAGGGAATGTCATAGAAACTGTCAAAATAGACTATTAAATGGGGACAGTTCTTCAATCGCTCTATATGGAAGGACAGGTCCCAGAACTGTCATTAATAGTCTAGATTTCCTGACAGTTTATCTATGACATTCCCTCCATACAGCGGTTTACAACAGCTTTTAGTATGGAGTGAATGTCCCAGAACTGTCAGAAAATAGACTATTTTCCTCTGACAGTTCTTGTGGACAATCACTCCATAACAGCTGAGTTTCAACCGCCTGTATGGAGGGGAATGTTAGACTATTAATGGAACTGTCATAGAAATAGACTAGTAATGACAGTTTTCTGGGGACTATACATTCCCTTCCATAATCAGTTGAAACAGGTGTGACATAGTCATTGTCAACATGTATATTTGTTCATCCAAAATGATAACCGCTTTATGGAAACAAATACATACAATGTTTTCCAACCAACCGCTGTATTATTTGGAAGGACAAGTCCCAGAACTGTCATAATAGTCTATTTCTGAAACAGCTGTATGGAGTGAATGTCCCAGAACTGTCAGAAATAGACTATTTCTGACAGTTCTGGGACTGTCCTTCCATACAGCGGTTGAAACATTGTATCTATTTTTTTTTTCCATAAATGACATTCTGCAAATACACTTAGAGGAGCGCTGCAGATACACTTTTTGGCCGGCTTGGAATTAATCTAATTTTCATCCTACTTCTTCTTCTTCATCCTCAATCCTCATCCCATCATAAGAAAAAAAAAGTAAAAAGTATGAGAAAAAAAAAAGAAGAAGTAGCATGATTAATAGCTAATTAATTCCAAGCCGGCAAAAAGTGTATCTGCAGCGCTCCTCTAAGTGTATCTGCAGAATGATCATTTATGGAAAAAATAGATACAATGTTTCAACCGCTGTATGGAGTGAATGTTCCCAGAACTGTCCATAAATAGTCCTATTTCTGACAGTTCTGGGACATTCACTCCATACAGCTGTTTCAACCGCTGTATGGAGGGAATGTCATGGAACTGTCAGAAATATGACTATTAATGACAGTTCTGGTACTCTGACCAGTTCCATGACATTCCCCTCCATACAGCGGTTGAAACAGCTGTATGGAGTGAATGTCCCAGAACTGTCAGAAATAGACAGAAACTGTCACAGAACTGTCCTTCTTCTCATCCTTCTCCTTCTTCTCATCCTTCTTCTCATCCTTCTTCTCATCCTTCTTCTCATCCTTCTTTCTCATCCTTCTCCTTCTTCTCATCCTTCTCCTTCTTCTCATCCTTCTCCTCTCCTTCTTCTCATCCTTCTCCTTCTTCTCATCCTTCTCCTTCTTCTCATCCTTCTCACTTCTCCTTCTTCTCATCCCTTCTCCCTTCCCGTCCTTCTCTCATCCTTCTCCTTCTCCTCATCCTTCTCCTTCTCCTTCTTCTCATCCTTCTCCTTCTCCTTCTTCTCATCCTTCTCCTTCTCCTTCTCCTTCTCTTTCCTCATCTCCAAGGGCATTTAAATTAAAGGTACAGTGTTCTTGCACTAATTTAAAGTGCTCTCTGAAGCCTAGAAACCCTTTTTAATAAGTCATCTTCGTAGCGAAGAAATTCGCATCGAATCGAATTTCACACTGGAATTCCGCCGAATCAGCCGAATCGAATTTTTGAGAAATTCGCTCATCTCTAGCCATAAATGTCACAGAAAATCCAAAACTAAAATTGTGTACACTTCTAGATGCAGTAAGGGTACCTTACCAACTTTCCCAATATAATAGGCTTTTGTAACAATCCAGGAACTTTTCAGGCTGATCAACCTCAGGAACCTCTGCTGTGTCCCGCAGCCACACCCCACTACTCTGGGTTCCTCAGACACTCTGCTCACAGTGTCAACCAAAAAAAAACATAGAGGACATAGTGGGTGATACCGCCATAAAATGAATAATAAACACTTTATTTGTAACTGCTGCACATTGCCAAAGTTTAAACAACGCATTAGAGGGAGTTCAGAAGGTGTAAAGGATCTCACGGACATCCAGGGAGAACACGTCCCGTCGCTCCTGCTCGATCTCTCCCTTATCTAAAATGGCCGCCAGGTAACTTCCGGTTTCCGGGGAAAACGTCTTAACGTCACTTCACCCGCCATTGACGCGTTTTCGTCATCGACTTAGTCATAAGGGGAGAGTGACTTATGACTAAGTCGATGACGAAACGCGTCAAGGCGGAGTGACGTTAAGACGTTTTCCCCGGAAACCGAAGTTTACCTGGTGGCCATTTTAAGATAAGGGAGAGATCGAGCAGGAGCGACGGGAACGTTCTCCCTGGATTCCGTGAGATCCTTACACCTTCTGAACTCCCTCTAATGCGTTGTTTAAACATTGCAATGTGAGCAGTTACAAATAAAGTGTTTATTATTCATTTTATTGGCGGTATCACACTATGTCCTCTATGTTTTTTTGGTGACACTGTGAGCAGAGTGTCTGAGGAACCCAGAGAGTGGGGTGGCTGCGGGACACAGCAGAGGTTCCTGAGTTGATCAGCCTGAAAAGTTCCTGGATTGTTACAAAGCCTATTATATTGGGAAAGTTGGGTAAGGGTACCCTTACTGCATCTAGAAGTGTACACATTTTAGTTTTGGATTTTCTGTGTTATGGCACTGTAAGAGTGTTGTGTACACTGAAGTGGTTTTTTCACGGATCACGTGTGGTTCACGTTTTTTTCACTATTTTTTCACGTATTTTCACTATAGGAAGCACAAATAAAGTTTAAGTATATAATTTTATAAAGGATAATGCACTATATGAGTTTTCCTTTTTTTTGAGGTGGACTGTGTTTTGAATATCGTTGGAAGAATTTGGGACATTTTTTTGCATAAAATTTATAGTGGACTATATATTGGTAGTGGATTCACCTTACGCAAAATTGGGTATTATTGTTTTGGAGCATTTGTTTAATAACACTGTCACGTATATAGTTATCCCTGATTATAGCTTTCCTTCCCTGGGCCCCCCCCCCCCCCATACATTTGGAGGGAGGGAGGACTGCCTACCTGCCTTCCACGCACCTATCCTTCAATGTCCCCCCAGTCTTAGTCCATAGGGTTCAATAAAGAGTTGGCCCCGCCCTTTCCACACACATGACCTTTAATGGCCTCCCAGTCTTAGTCCGTAGGGTTCAATATTGAGTTGGCCCCGCCCTTTGCAGCTATAACAGCTTCAACTCTTCTGGGAGGGCCGTCCACAAGGCACTGATGTCGGGGGAGGAGCACTGATGTCGGGGAGGAGGCCTGGCTCACAGTCTCCGCTCTAATTCATCCCAAAGGTGTTCTATGGGGTTGAGGTCAGGACTCTGTGCAGGACAGTCAAGTTCCTCCACCCCAAACTGGCTCCTCCATGTCTTTATGGACCTTGCTTTGTGCACTGGTGGGCAGTCATGTTGGAACAGGAAGGGGCCATCCCCAAACTCTTCCCACAAAGTTGGGAGCATGAATTTGTCCAAAATGTTGCCTTAAGAGTTCCCTTCACTGGAACTAGGGGGCCAAACCCAACCCCTGGAAAACAACCCCAAACCATAACCCCCCCTCCACCAAACTTTACACTTGGCACAATGCAGTCAGGCAAGTACCGTTATCCTGGCAACTGACAAACCCAGACACGTCCATCGGATTGCCAGAGAAGCGCGATTGGTCCCTCCAGAGAACACGTCTCCCCTGCTCTAGAGTCCAGTGGCGGCGTTCTTTACACCACAGCATCCGACGCTTTGCATTGCACTTGGTGATAGAAGGCTTGGATGCAGCTGCTCGGCCATGGAAACCCATTCCATGAAGCTCTCTACGCACTGTTGTTGGGCTCATCTGAAGGCCACACCAAGTTTGGAGGTCTTTAGCGATTGACTCTGCAGACAGTTGGCGACTTCTGCGCACTGTGTGCTTCAGCATGCGCTGACCCCGCCCTGTCATGTGACGTGGCCTACCACTTGGTGGCTGAGTGGCTGTTGTCCCCAGTTGCTTCCACTTTGTTATAATCCCACTAACAGTTGAGCGTGGAATATTTAGTAGCCAGGAAATGTCACAGATGGACTTATTGCCCAGGTGGCCACCTATCACGGGACCACGCTTGGAGCCACTGAGCTCCTGAGAGCGACCCATTCTTTCACCAATGTTTGTAGAAGCCGTCTGCATGCCTAGGGGCTTGATTGTATACACCTGTGTCCATGGAGGGGATTGGAACACCTGAATCACATGATTGGGAGGGGATTGGAACACCTGAATCACATGATTGGGAGGGATTGGAACACCTGAATCACATGACTGGGAGGGATTGGAACACCTGAATCACATGACTGGGAGGGGATTGGAACACCCGAATCACATGACTGGGAGGGGATTGGAACACCCGAATCACATGACTGGAGGGGATTGGAACACATGAATCACATGACTGGAGGGGATTGGAACACCCGAATCACATGACTGGAGGGGATTGGAACACATGAATCACATGACTGGAGGGGATTGGAACACATGAATCACATGACTGGAGGGGATTGGAACACCCGAATCACATGACTGGAGGGGATTGGAACACCCGAATCACATGACTGGGAGGGGATTGGAACACCCGAATCACATGACTGGAGGGGATTGGAACACATGAATCACATGACTGGAGGGGATTGGAACACATGAATCACATGACTGGAGGGGGTGGGGCCAATACTTTCGGCAATATAGTGTAAATTGACTGTCGGGGGTTAATACTAATTACTGCACATTCCACGTCTGAGGGACGCATGGTTCTTCTCTCATTATCTATCTCCATCACACACGCAGCACACACACGTCTCACTTGAAGGTTGTACATAAAAAAAAAATCGACATTTCTCAATCTCTTACCGACAAACGGCAGCAAAACGTTCTTCCCGACGCCAATCACAGAGTTACTTTTGCTGTTAGAGAAGAAAACGTTCAGTTAGAGTTGGATTAAAGAAAATCTATAATACTTTTTACAGTTTGTCATATAAAGGGTGGGAGGGGATGGGAACGGTCAGATCTCGATCTGCAGTACGTGGCAGCCGGTCTGTACAATCCCCGTTAGATATATCAGCAATTTCTGTGGTGGAAATGAAACAACTGAAGTGGATCCAAAGCTGAAACTTTGGGTTTTGTTTCCTGTTTTGGGTGGAGTAGTGAAGGGCTAGAAGAGGCGACAGGCGTCAGCAACCTCCGGTGCCACTTGTGCTGGCGCCCACTTCCACCCAATCACAGACCCCGGACCGTCCGCCATCTCTCAAAGCCCGCCGGGGGCTGCGCAGAAGAAGCCCACTGGAGCATCCACAGCAGTAACCTGCATATCTGAAGGTACGGGGTTGGGGCTTACCAGAGTATCTGCATTGGGGCTGATCCAAATATGAAGTGTATGCATTGGAGCCAGGGGCGGACTGACAACTCATGGGGCCCCCGGGCAATAGGGGATCATGGGGCCCCTGTGTCCTTGCCCACACTCAAAAAAGCCTATGAAAAAGGTACCAGGGGCATCTCATGGGGCCCCCTACTGACCCCGAGCCCTCGCTCACTATATCCGCTCTCCCCGGACCCCGCGTTCACTATATCCGCTCTCCCCGGACCCCGCGTTCACTATATCCGCTCTCCCCGGACCCCGCGGTCACTATATCCGCTCTCCCCGGAGACCCCGCGTTCACTATATCCGCTCTCCCCGGACCCCCGCGTTCACTATATCCGCTCTCCCCGGACCCCGCGTTCACTATATCCGCTCTCCCCGGACCCCCGCGTTCACTATATCCGCTCTCCCCGGACCCCGCGTTCACTATATCCGCTCTCCCCGGACCCCGCGTTCACTGTATCCGCTCTCCCCGGACGACACCTTCACTATATCCGCTTTTCCCCCGGACCCCGCATTCACTATATCCACTCTCCCCCGGACCCCGCGTTCACTATATCCGCTCTCCCCCCGGATCCCGCATTCATTATATCCACTCTCCCCGGACCCCGCGTTCACTGTATCCGCTCTCCCCGGACCCCGCGTTCACTGTATCCGCTCTCCCCCGGACCCCGCGTTCACTGTATCCTCTCTCCCCGGACCCCGCATTCACTATATCCGCTCTCCCCGGACCCCGCCTTCACAATATCCGCTCTCCCCGGACCCCGCATTCACTATATTCGCTCTCCCCGGACCCTACATTCACTATATCTGTTCTCCCCAGACCCCACATTCACTATATCCGCTCTCCCCGGACCCCACATTCACTATATCCGCTCTCCCCGGACCCCACATTCACTATATCCGCTCTCCCCGAACCCCGCGTTCACTGTATCCGCTCTCCCCGGACCCCGCGTTCACTGTATCCGCTCTCCCCGGACCCCGCGTTCACTGTATCCTCTCTCCCCGGACCCCGCGTTCACTGTATCCTCTCTCCCCGGACCCCGCATTCACTGTATCCGCTCTCCCCCGGACCCCGCATTCACTGTATCCGCTCTCCCCAGACCCCGCATTCACTGTATCCGCTCTCCCCGGACCCCGCCTTCACAGTATCCGCTCTCCCCCGGACCCCCGCCTTCACTGTATCCGCTCTCCCCGGACCCCGCGTTCACTGTATCCGCTCTCCCCGGACCCCGCGTTCACTGTATCCGCTCTCCCCGGACGACACCTTCACTATATCCGCTTTTCCCCCCCGGACCCCGCATTCACTATATCCACTCTCCCCGGACCCCCGCGTTCACTATATCCGCTCTCCCCCCGGATCCCGCATTCATTATATCCACTCTCCCCGGACCCCGCGTTCACTGTATCCGCTCTCCCCGGACCCCGCGTTCACTGTATCCGCTCTCCCCGGACCCCGCGTTCACTGTATCCTCTCTCCCCGGACCCCGCATTCACTATATCCGCTCTCCCCGGACCCCGCCTTCACAATATCCGCTCTCCCCGGACCCCGCATTCACTATATTCGCTCTCCCCGGACCCTACATTCACTATATCTGTTCTCCCCAGACCCCACATTCACTATATCCGCTCTCCCCGGACCCCACATTCACTATATCCGCTCTCCCCGGACCCCACATTCACTATATCCGCTCTCCCCGAACCCCGCGTTCACTGTATCCGCTCTCCCCCGGACCCCGCGTTCACTGTATCCGCTCTCCCCGGACCCCGCGTTCACTGTATCCTCTCTCCCCGGACCCCGCGTTCACTGTATCCTCTCTCCCCGGACCCCGCATTCACTGTATCCGCTCTCCCCGGACCCCGCATTCACTGTATCCGCTCTCCCCAGACCCCGCATTCACTGTATCCGCTCTCCCCGGACCCCGCCTTCACAGTATCCGCTCTCCCCGGACCCCGCCTTCACTGTATCCGCTCTCCCCGGACCCCGCGTTCACTGTATCCGCTCTCCCCGGACCCCGCGTTCACTATATCCGCTCTCCCCGGACCCCGCCTTCCCTATATCCGCTCTCCCCGGTCCCCGCGTTCACTGTATCCGCTCTCCCCGGACCCCGCGTTCACTGTATCCGCTCTCCCCGAACCCCGCCTTCACTATATCCGCTCTCCCCCGGACCCCGCGTTCACTATATCCGCTCTCCCCGGACCCCGCGTTCACTATATCCGCTCTCCCCGGACCCCGCGTTCACTATATCCGCTCTCCCCGGACCCCGCGTTCACTATATCCGCTCTCCCCGGACCCCGCGTTCACTGTATCCGCTCTCCCCGGACCCCGCGTTCACTGTATCCGCTCTCCCCGGACCCCGCGTTCACTATATCCTCTCTCCCCGAACCCCGCATTCACTATATCCGCTCTCCCCCGGACCCCGCATTCACTATATCCGCTCTCCCCGGACCCCGCATTCACTATATCCGCTCTCCCCCGGACCCCGCATTCACTATATCCGCTCTCCCCGGACCCCGCATTCACTGTATCCGCTCTCCCCCGGACCCCGCATTCACTGTATCCGCTCTCCCCGGACCCCGCATTCACTATATCCGCTCTCCCCGGACCCCGCATTCACTATATCCGCTCTCCCAGGACCCCGCATTCACTATATCCGCTCTCCCCGGTCCCCGCATTCACTATATCCGCTCTCCCACAGTACACACAACATGGAAATTAAATTATTTTAGTAAATATAAACTGCTAAATCCCTTTTCCCATCAGCAGTATAGAGCAGCCTTGGGACTTCTATCAGTGTCCAGCAGTGCACTGGTTAAAGCTTGAAGGAGGAGTTGTCTTTCTGCTCTAGGAGGATGCAGAACCCTTGACCTCTGTCTGGACAGTGCTGATTAGTCCTGTGGTGATTACATGCACTCTTCCAAGGAAAAATAACTCTAGCCATACACACCAAACTGAGCATGTGCAGAGTGACTCCAAGGCTCTGTTCTAACAGCAGATGGATTGGGGATAGTAAAAGAAGGGGAGGAGCAGAGAAGACAGGATCAAACAGCCTTTTTGAACAATGCGGAGGATTAACCCCTTAGGTCCCCGGGTGAGTATACCAGGCCTCCTTTCTGCATCTACAGACTGATGTCACTGTTGTGGGTTTAGTAAACCTGATATGACAGAAATAATGGGGCCGGTGACTTCCCTGTGAAAATGCTAGTTGCCTGGCTGTTATACTGACCCATAATTCCGCTGACCTGGAACAAGCACACAGAGAAAAGTCTGACGTACTTGTTCCAGATAAGTCAAAGTACTGAATCCAGAGGTTCAACATGACAGCCAGGCAATGAGTATTTTCGGGAGGGGTGTGTGTGTCTCACACGATGCCGTACTTGGTCTTGTCGAGGGAGCTGTGTTTCGGGTGCATGACGTGGCTGCTGAACGACTGGCTCCGGATCAGCTTGCTCTTCTTGCTTTCTCTGCTGACAACTGCATACAAAGCAGACGAGAGAGTGAGGCCTCCTCCTGCCCTGTGATGTCATCAAAGTGATGTCATAGGTCATGTGACGCCTTATCACCCACCTGTCTGCGTGCCCGAGGAGCTGTTCGAGATCACGGTCGGGAGACTTTTTGGCAACGCCGATCCCGTTTTACTGTCTCTACCTAAAACAGAGCGAAGAGTCAGGAAGAGCCGATGCGGCATCCGGTGCGTGGCCAATGCATCGGCTTCAATCACTTACGCTTCCTGTCGTACGTCTTCTCGTTGCTGGACCGAGCCTCGCTTTGTTGTTTTTCCTTTTCTATTTGTTCCTGGAAAGCAAAGAAAAACTCCATCGTTCACCAACCACACACGTCAGATTCACATCTTTACTGGTAATTTACTAACAAAGGTACAAAGCAGAAGTTTATTATGTAAATGGTTTGCCTTGCCTGCCCCCCCCCCCACCCCATCAACATGATAATGACATTTTTCAATAAAACATTCATATTTTCATTACATTCCTTTTTTTTAGGCCAAGTGACATCATCACTGGGTCTGTGTGCTTACCTATGCAATGCAGGCAGATCATGGCTGGTGGGTGGAGCTGACAGGGTGCAGTGCATAGATTTCCACACCATTGCTGACCCAGCCTGATCTGACTGCTCTCTTGTTTGTCAGCTGCCTGGGCTCCTGCCTGGATCTGACTACTCTCTTTATTGCAACCTGTCTCAAGTCCTGCTTGGACCTGACTGTCCTCATTTGCTGCCTGCCTTGACCCCTGGATAGAATTGACTACTCTCCTGCAAGCTGCCTGGACCTGACTACCATCTGGTTTGTTGTTTACTTTGACCCCTGCCTGGACCTGACTATTCTTTTGATTGCCACCTGCCCTTGACCCCTGCCTGGACCTGACTACCATCTGAATTGTTGCTTGCCTTGACCCTGCCTGGACCTGACTACCATCTGAATTGTTGCTTGCCTTGACCCTGCCTGGACCTGACTACCATCTGAATTGTTGCTTGCCTTGACCCCTGCCTGAACTCAACTGACACCTGCCCGCCTCCTTCCTGGGCCTGACTAATTTCTTGATCGCCGCCTGCCTCAACCCATGCCTGTACCTAACTGTTCTTAAATGTCACCTTCCTCTCCCCCTGCCTGCAACTGACTACAATCTGGTTTCCCGGTTGCCTTCAATGCTGCCTGGACCCGGCTGTCCTCTTGATTTCCCACTGCCTGGACCCGACTAATTTCTTGATTGCCGCCTGCCTCGACCCCTGCCTGCACCTGATTATCATCTGGTTTCCTGGTTGCTTTGACTGCTTCCTAGACCCAGCTATCCTCTTGCTTGCCCCCTACCTGGACCCGACTAATTTCTTGATTGCCGCTTGCTCTTACCCCTGCCTGGACCTGACTATTTCCGTGATTTCCAACTGCCCTTGACCCCTGCCTGGATCTGACTACCATCTGGTTTGTTGCATGCCTTGAGCCCTGCCTGGACTTTCCTATTCTCTTCATTGCCACCTGCCCTGACCCCTGCCTGAACCTGACTATTCTCTTGATTTCCACCTGCCTTGACCCTTGCCTGGATTCAACTACTCTTTGGATTGACAACCGCATGCCTCCTTGCCTGGACCCGACTAATTTCTTGATTTCCACCTGCCTCAACCTACGCCTGGACCCAGCTGTTCTCTTGATTGTCACCTGCCTCTCCCCATGCCGGCACCTGACTATTATCTGGTTTCCCGGTTGCCTTGACCGCTGCCTGGACCCAGCTATCCACTTGACTGCCGCCTGCATGGACCTAATTTCTTGATTGCCACCTGCCTCGACCCATGCCTGGACCCAACTGTTCTCTTGATTGCCAACCTGCCTGTCCTCCTGCCTGCACCTGACTATCATCTGGTTTCCCGGTTGCCTTGACTGCTGCATGGACCCAGCTATCCTTTTGATTGCCCCCTACCTGGACCTGACTAATTTCCTGATCGCAGCTTGCCTCAACCCCTTCCTGGACCTGACTATTCTCTTATATGCCATCTACCTTGAGCCCTGCCTGGATCTGACTATTCCCTTGATTGCCAACTGCCCTTGACCCCTGCCTGGACCTGACTGCCACCTGGTTTGTTGCTTGCCTTGACCCTTGACTGGACCTTGCTATTCTCTTTATTGCCACCTGTCCTCACCCCTGCCTGGACTTAACTATTCTCTTGACAACTGCCCATCTCTTGCCTGGGCCTGACAAATTTATTAATCAGCACCTGCCTTGACCCCTGCCTGAATCTGACTACCATCTGGTTTGTTGCATGCCTTGACCCCAGCCTGGATCTTGCTATTCTCTAGATTGCCACCTGCCCTGACCCCTGCCTGGAATTGACTATTTTCTTGATTGCCCCCTGCCTGGACTCAACTATTCTCTTGATTGACAACTACCTGCCTCCTGCCTGGGCCTGACTAATTTACTGATCGCCGCCTGCCTTGACCCACATCTGGACCCAACCGTTCTCTTAATTGCCACCTGCCTCTCCCTCTGCCTGCACCTGATTATCATCTGGTTTCCCAGTTGCCATGACCACTGCCTGGACACAACTATCTTTTTAATTGTGCCCTGCCTGGACTTGACTATTTTCTTGATCGCTGCCTGCCTCAACCCCTACCTATTCTCTTTCTGATCCCCAGTGTTCAGTCCCCACATCTTAGCCTTCCTGTCCTCACTCACCCCTTGATGGGTAGATCCTGATTGCCATGACCTGGTACCAGCCCACAGCAAAGAGCTCCAAGAGCCAATGGGGCTCCTCAACCATCTCCACCATCAGGAGCTCCAGGAAGGCCAGCTGGTGCTTAGACTCCACTCTCCGGGTGAGCCTGCGTCACCCGACAGGGGGTGTTGCCTAACAATTCCCTCTAACATAGCAAACCTTAACATTTTGAGTTGCGTTCCACTTTAAATGTACCATTTCCAGCAGTAGGTGCTCCTCCCTTTCCTTCTCCTGGTCCAGTAAGTCTTTTTCAAAGAAGCGTTTCTGAAACTGGAAAAAAGACAAAATACAAAATTACAAAGAAATGCGATAACATCAGACTTGTGACGATGCTCATCTAAAACGCCCCTGAAACGTCAAATTCGGCATTGACTGGAACTGTTAGGCAGCACTGACAGGCGGCACTGATAGTCAGCACTGACTAGCACTGATAGGCGGCACTGATTGGCAGCACTGATAGGAGGCTCTAACTGGCACTGATAGTTGGCACTGAAAGGCAGCTCAGAGGGGCACTGATATGTGGAATTGATGTGCACTGGTAGGCACTGATATGTGACAATGATGTGGCAGTGATGGGCACTGGCAGGTGGCACTGATGGGGCTACACTGATCATCAGGGCATGTGCAGTCAGAGTGGGAGGACATCATATGACGTCCTCCCAGTACGAGAGAACCGCCACTCAAACGTCATTTCCTTATATGGCGGACGGGAGACGGTTAACATTGACTGGAACTGTTAGGCAGCACTGATGGGCACTGATAGGCGGCAATGATAGGTGGATGGGCAGCACTGATAGGCGGCACTGACTGGCACTGATAGGTGGCACTAACTGGCACTGAAAGGCAGCTCAGATGGGCACTGATATGTGGCATTGATGTGCACTGGTAGGGACTGATATGTGGCATTGATGTGGCAGTGATGGGCACTGGCAGGTGGTATTGATGAGCACTGACAGCTGGCATTGATGGACACTGACAGGTGGCACTGATGGGGCTACACTGATCATCAGGGCATGCGCAGTCAGAGTGGGAGGACATCATATGAGGTCCTCCCAGTACGAGAGAACCGCCACCCATCATTTCCTTATATGGCGGGCAGGAGGCGGTTAACAAACGAATCCGTAATGAAACAAAACAAACGTTCCCGCCATGCACATCTCTATCGGCCAATAGTGAGGCCAAGGAGGCTGGAGGACTAGCCGAGGGCTCAGCCTGGAGACTGAACTGTCAGAGTTCAGATTTGAACTAACGTTAGAATGCAATAAAATAACCAACACGTTTTGGGGGTTCAGGAACTCCTCCTTCAGGGTTTTGTAATCTGTGTAACCTCAAAGTGACTGGACTCAATAATAAGAACTGGTAGACGGGAGCAAAGGGCTAAAACAGGCCCTAAGTGGTTTGCACCTCAATCTGTAGATTGAGGGCTCATTCATACATACGGCAACCCCTGCCACCTGATGTCTAGGCACAGAGTGTACTTTCTCTGCCACGTGTTGTTTGAGCTTTCTCCAGTAGGGTGTACTGGAGAGGTAACACTCTATGTTATGATTGTCTTGTGACCTTGCCAACCAGCAGGCTTGAAGAGCGTAGTGATGCATGCTGGGAGAAAGGTTAAATGTCTGAGACACTTCCCTTTATGGGCTTCTGCCCAGTGAGGTAGTCACCATAAGAAGAGCTGTGTGGTGGGGTGGTAGGTTGGGCAACCCCCCACACACACACATCTTTGTGGAGGTTTTCCAGAAGATGCTGGTTGCTGAAGTCACCAGTGTATAGCCTGGAGGAAACAAGCCATGACTCTCCCCTCACATATAAAGACATAGTGAGTGACTGGTTAAGTGGGAAGGAACCTTTCTTGTTGTCCATGTTGAGTTACCACTAGAAAGTCAATTGCCAGGAAGCCAGAGATCTGCGGGAGTCTATCCAGCAAAGACCGAAGACAGACTCTAACCACTTGACATCCATAGATTGATTATTAATATCCTGGACTTCAAGTGGTTGAGACAATCAAGAAATATTTAGAAGAGATTAAGTCCTAGTTTGATGTAGGAGACCAACCAATATTGGGGATCTTCTGGTCTATATCTCACCCTCCTTCCCATATGACCATGTGTAATGGACCAGTTCTCACTGCCGTGACCAGTGCCCATCTTCCTGAGCCAAGAACCTCACCTGAGATTGAATGTACCTGGGACCCGACTGACACATAAGGGTGCTGAGGATATTCGTAATGTAGATGGTGGTCAGCTGCAGATCAATAACTACAGAAGACCAGATCGACACAACTTAAATATAGAATCTGACCAATGTCTACGACAACACAGACACGTTCTATGCTCTGGGTTTCATCAATAATTCCAGGGATATCACTAGGAAAATAAGATCCTTACAGCATCTATGGATATCTCCATCCGGTCCAGCTCCAGAACTGTCTGCAAATATAAAGAAAGATACATTTTGTCAGGGCTTTTTTTCTCTGAGAATACGTGCAGGTACTACCCCTTCTCAATCACCCCTTGTCTCCACCCCCTGTCCACCCCTGAGTACCATATCTTGGTTCCACCCATCCCTGAGCAACATCTCTTGGTTCCACCCACCCCTGATCACCATCTTGTGGTTCTACCACCCCCTACTCACCCCCCTGAGCACCATCTCTTGGTTCCACCAACCCTTGAGCACCATCTGGTTCCACCCCCCTACCCACCCCTGAGCACCATTTTATGGTTCCACCCCCTCTACCCACTCCTGAGCACCATCTCTTCATTCTACCCCCCTACCGACCCCTGAGCACCCTCTCTTGGTTCCACCCCTGAGCACCACCTCCTGGTTCCAACTCCCCCTTACCCACCCCTGAGCACCATCTCCTGGTTCCACACTCCCTAACCACCCCTGAGCACCATCTCTTGGTTCTACCCACCCACCCTTGAGCACCATCTCTTGGTTCCACCCCCCTACTCACCACTGAGCAGAATCTCTTGGTTCCCCCCCCCCCCACTCCTAAGCACAATCTCTTGGTTACACCCCCTACCTACCCCTTAGCACCATCTCTTGGATTCAACCCCCATACACACACCCGAGGACCATCTCTTGGTTCTACCCACCCCTGAGCACCATCTCTTGGTTTCACCCCATCCCCCACCAACCCCTGAGCACCATCTTTTGGTGACCTCTGAATGACCCCCAGTAACAATAGATCCCCTAGCAACATTATACCCCCGCCTAGTAACAATAAAACCCCCAACAATGATAGACCCCCCCTTTAGCAAAATAGACCCTCCTGTAACAAAATACCCCCAAGCAACAATAGAGCCCCTGGAACAATAGACCCCCACCAGCACCAATAGACCCTCCAACAGCCAGCAACAATGTTCAGTGCTGAAGGTGCCGGAACTGTGTTCCCCCACATTCCTGCTGCAAAAATGCCCTGCGTTTTGTTAAATTTATTTGTGTTTCTCTTTTTTTTTTGCAATTTTTTGCAATGACCTTCCCCACCTCTATGAAACCTATGCCCATGTGACTTTTTCTTCATTTTTAACAGTTTTCATTCAGCCTTTGTGCTGTCTGGGTCCTGTGCCGCCATTTCAAAGACTCACGCTACCATACCGCGCATGCACCAGAGGAATGGCGTGATGTCATGCACCGTGCAACATTACATGCATCTGCTGAAATAGGAGAGAAAAAACCTCCACTGAGATCTTACAAAATCCCAGGAAAAATGTATTATTTTATCAGCAAATGAGCATGCGCGTTATTGGGTGCGTGACATCATGTGCTTCATCTTGCGTATGCACGTTAAGAAAATACTGCAACATCTCGCAATTTAAAGCGGAGTTCCACTCAAAAGGGCAATTTCTGCTTGTCTGCTTCCAGCCACATTTGACACCTTTTGGGGGAGGGAGGGGATGGGGGCAATTACCTGGTGTTGGCAGGTACCTGCTCCCACTTCCAGCTCAGTTCACCATGGTCCCTCCTTCCCCCGCAGCCTTCTGGGACACGTCACAGGTCCCAGAAGACTGCTTCCCATCTAAGAAGCGTAGCGCTCTTCGCACATGTGCAGAAGGAGACCAGCAGAGAGGCCGCAAGGCTTCACTGCCCGCCAAGATGGTGGCGCCAGCATATGATAGCAGATGGATGAATTGGCTCGGGAGGACACCGCTGGATGCTTGGACAGGTAAGTACCTCAATATTAAAAATCAGCAGCTACAGTATTTGTAGCTGCTGACGTTTAACTATTTTTTTTTTTGGGGGGGGGGGGATATAAGATTTTCCCCCCGAGGCAATGCGAACGTAGCCTTCCCAGGAGGCATCTGTGCGGACGGTGCTATGTCTTTCCCATAAGACCTCCAACAATATGCAGCTGCAGGAACTTATCCTGGTATACCACTGGAAGGCCGTACATTAGGTGGTCTTCAAATGGTTATATCCAGTGAACATACCACCCCCCCCCCCCCCCAACCTTATTTCCCTCAATATATATATATATATATATATATACACACGTGCTAACCTTGACCCCAGTCTCCAGGTGGCATGGGTGATGGGGAGCACTTTAGCAATGGGATGGAGAGCAATTTCAAAGGATTGTGAGTGTCTGCCTCTGCCAGGAGACACAGTGACATCACCCATGGAGGCCAAGAACAAGGTTTCCCTAAATCCATGTTTGTTTCTGCTACAAATGAGGACCTCCTATGTGCCATGGAAGGCGATAGCTGAGCCCTTCAATTCTCTTTTCTGCACTCCCCCCAATTCTACAACAGCCATTTATGAATTTTAATACATTTCTAGGTCTTCTCATGACCAAGCAACCAGTGATAATCTCATGACTAAGCAACCAGATATAATCTCATGACCAAGCAACCAGTGATAATCTCATGACCAAGCAACCAGTGATAATCTCATGACCAAGCAACCAGAGATAATCTCATGACCAAGCAACCAGAGATAATCTCATTACCAAGCAACCAGTGATAGTCTCATGACCAAGCAACCAGAGATAATCTCATGACCAAGCAACCAGTGATAATCTCATGACCAAGCAACCAGAGATAATCTCATGACCAAGCAACCAGTGATAATCTCATGACCAAGCAACCAGTGATAATCGCATGACCAAGCAACCAGTGATAATCGCATGACCAAGCAACCAGTGATAATCTCATGACCAAGCAACCAGTGATAATCTCATGACCAAGCAACCAGAGATAATCTCATGACCAAGCAACCAGTGATAATCTCATGACCAAGCAACCAGTGATAATCTCATGACCAAACAACCAGTGATAATCTCATGACCAAGCAACCAGTGATAATCTCATGACCAAACAACCATTGATAATCTCATGACCAAGCAACCAGTGATAATCTCATGACCAAGCAACCAGTGATAGTCTCATGACCAAACAACCAGAGATAGTCGCATGACCAAGCAACCAGAGATAATCTCATGACCAAGCAACCAGAGATAATCTCATGACCAAGCAACCAGAGATAATCTCATGACCAAGCAACCAGTGATAATCTCATGACCAAGCAACCAGAGACAATTTCATGACCAAGCAACCAGTGATAATCTCATGACCAAGCAACCAGTGATAGTCTCATGACCAAGCAACCAGAGATAATCTCATGACCAAGCAACCAGTGATAATCTCATGACCAAGCAACCAGAGATAATCTCATGACCAAGCAACCAGTGATAATCTCATGACCAAGCAACCAGTGATAATCGCATGACCAAGCAACCAGTGATAATCTCATGACCAAGCAACCAGAGATAATCTCATGACCAAGCAACCAGTGATAATCTCATGACCAAGCAACCAGTGATAATCGCATGACCAAGCAACCAGTGATAATCTCATGACCAAGCAACCAGTGATAATCTCATGACCAAGCAACCAGTGATAGTCTCAGGACCAAGCAACCAGTGATAATCTCAGGACTCAATGTAATGTAATGGACCAAGCAACCAGTGATAGTCTCAGGACCAAGCAACCAGTGATAATCTCATGACCAAGCAACCAGTGATAATCTCATGACCAAGCAACCAGAGATAATCTCATGACCAAGCAACCAGTGATAACGGCTAAACTGGAACTAACTGGAGGGGGTCAGGGGGGCAAAACACACCAAACAATTATAAATGCTCCTAATAATGGTACTCTGAAGTTCTAGTAGACTATAATAGCCCCGATTTGCACTAGACACCTTGGAGAGTGTCCAATGCAGATCCAAATTGGAGATCTCACTCACCCTCTTCACCACCGCCAGGACATCTCTGTCCTTCTCCTGGCACAGAAGTTTCCGGACGCACAGTTCCAGCTGCTGCAATAAATGTTTATCCGCCGGAAGCTTCAGGGTGGACTTCAGCTTTGGCAACATGTAGCAAACCTTCATCCTAGGACAGAAAGAATGAAAGACATTGTATGAGTGAATGCGGCATCACACCGATATCTACGCAAACGTTTTAGATGTGTATGTGTCTGAAAATAACTGCAACTAAGACTGGGATCTGGTGATTTCCTTATGTGTAACTGACTGACAACATCTGGGGGTGGAGGCCTCCTTTAAACAGTCCATAGTCTTGAGAGTTGTCCACTTTCAGCTAGAATGAGTGATAGTCTTGAGTCTATGGGATCTTTAGATGCCTTCCAGCCGACTACTATTCTGTGCAATTCAATGTTGTGAATGCTGAACATACGGCATCATGGCCACGAGATGGTGCTGAGGAGCACGCTTATTTCCTATGATAGTCAGCGCCATCTAATGGCCATAATATGGTACAGGCATTACTCCCTATACTAGGGGTTTCCAAACTGTCTACACAAAAGGGACAGCTTTCTGTCCTCTAGACTTCGAGAGGGCTGGACTATGGCCAGTGGGAGTAGAAAAGGTCCAGATGTCAGTGGGAGTAAACCATGCCCCTTCGTTGGTGTCAGTGGGAGGAATAGCACCCTATCGTTGGGGTTATTGTGAGGAATTGTGCCCCATCATTGGTGTCATTGGGTCCTATTGTTGATATCATTGTGAGGAATTGTACCCCATCATTGGTGTCATTGGGTCACATTGTTGGTGTCATTGTGAGGTAATTTGCCCCATAATTGGTGTCAGTGGAGGGAATCATGCCCCGTTGTTGGTATCAGTGGATAAAATAGTGCCCCAAGGGCCAGATAAAAGCAAGCCAAGGGCCATATCTGGCCCCTCAGCCACAGTTTGGAGACCACTGCCCTATACCGTATTATGGCTATCTAATGGCCCTATTATGGTATAGGGAATAATGTGGTGTAAAGTAAAATGCTCAAGAATATTCAGTTTTTCATGGAACCAGGGGCGTATGTACAGGGGATACTGTCAGGATGGAAAGCAGTGAAGGGGCCGGTAAATGTGTTACTGGCCCCTTCCTTGTCTTAATGAATAGAATCAGTGATCAGTACCGGATTCATTATCAATTCATTCATAGCTGAGGCATAGTAAACTGTGTTCATTATGCTTCAGTTTATGAATGAATGGGAAGCTCTGTGGAGAGCTATTCCTGTCCATTCATTCTGTGTAGTTGAGCCTTCAGAGATGGAGATGGAGGTGTCCTCAGTCTCCTTTCTGTGTCTCAAAGGTGAAACATCAGAGGTCTGTTAATTAATTAAAAAATAATAAATAATAAAATTGTAATACATAAATAAAATAAAAAGATAAAAAAACTATGTAACGGAATCGTCCCAGTTTGCGCTTGAGTATTTCCGTTATAATACCGCTTCCCCATCCGAACACCGACCACTGACACCACCGCTGACAAGACTAGACGACACCAGTCTTGAAATAAATCAGGAAATAGACTGCTTTATTTTAACACAGATACAAGATATATACATTCAAGGGGAGCAACCCCCCCCCCCCCCTCCCTGCATAAGGACACAGGGAGGGGCAAACCACACTCAGTAACAAGAGACACACCAACAGACAGTCCCTTCAGGAGGGAGGGCTGCCGGAAACACCCCCCACCAAGCCAATACACACAAACACATACATCCCACAATAGTTTGCTGCCAAGCAAGACACACAATAGAACAATGGGAAGCAGCCATATTAGGACAGATCACCCTGTACCCCTAACAGGCACAGGGTGACTTACACATAAGAGGGATATGGGGAGCTGAGACGGGGTCTCACCACCTCTCCAAAGTGAGCTGTGTTCCATGGGCCCCCCACCCAAAAGTGACTCCCGTCACAAAATAAAAATAAAATAATGAAAATAAAAAAAAACTATTGACACCAGAGATGGAACTGCTGGGGTCGCACATGCGGCAAGGCCCTGGTGCTCTGCCATTCCAAGACGACAGAAAGGGGGCCCACTGCAGGACCATAATAAAGGGTCCCACTATGGGAGTAAAGGGCCCCGGGGTGAGTGGGAAGGGCCCGGCCGGAAACTAGGGAGGGGTTCATGGTTTTTTGCATTGGGGCCCTGTAGGTTCTAGTTACGGCTCTGCGTGGAACAAATTTACACGCAGTTTGGATGAACAAACAGCTATGCAAATTGTTTATGAACACACCCCATAGTGAATTTACAGCAATGGTAAAAGATTTCTGGACTCTGAGTTCCTTGGCCTGGCACCCTCATTGGACTTTCTGTCACTATAAATGAAGTCATCAGTGATGATGAAAATGGTGGATTCCATCGGGGGCTTCTCACACAGGTGTCTAGCTTTGTGGCAGCTTCTCTATACATTGTAGACAGAGTCTCCTCATATAATCATGGGGCCACAAACAGAGTCTCCTCATATAATCATGGGGCCACAAACAGAGTCTCCTTATATAATCATGGGGCCACAAACAGAGTCTCCTCATATAATCATGGGGCCACAAACAGAGTCTCCTCATATAATCATGGGGCCACAAACAGAGTCTCCTCATATAATCATGGGGCCACAAGGATCACTCTGGGTCAGTTCCTGGGACCATGCACTGACACCCGGTACATCCAGTTGGGAGTTTTGAGTTTTCGGACTCCTCGTCCTCTTACCTAACGTTGGCCACCGGATCGCTGGTCAGCTCCAGCACGGAGAGGTAAAAGTATTTGCAGAAGAAGGACTTGGAGAAGAACTCCATGATATATTCACAGGTGTCCAGGAACCTCTGCCGGTTCCAGTAGCTCTTCCCCTGACCCAGTTCTGGAACATAAGAGTGGCAAGGTAAGCAAGGCTGAACAAATAAAACTGAAAGCTGAACTTCATTTGTCCCCACCTCCACCCCGCTCTTCCCCCTGGTCCTTACCATTTATCAGGGGTTCAAACCACACCCTCACCTATCTGATGTATTCACCTATAGCAACGTGCTGTTGAGTCATTCCGAGCCGACATCTTGGTCCTCTTGAGTTGGCTGCCTCTTCCGGGTTCAGGTAGCCCAGCCCCCCTGATGACACAGCAGCTCCACCACCCATCCGCCCCCACCCACTCCCCACCCAGACATTCTGTGAATGGGCTTCTGCATCCTAAACTGCTTTTAAGAAACCACAGGACCTCCCCCCCCAAAAAAAAAACAGTTTACTATGCTTCAGTTATGGATGAACACAGTAAGTGATCAATACCGATCACTCATTGTGTCCATTCAGGAAAGGAAGGGACTGGTAAATGTAACACATTTCCCAGACCCTTCCCCCACTCTCCATCATGAAGGACCCTATTGTGTGCTTGTAGCTGCTGGTGGGGAGGAAAGGAGGGAAGCCGGCAGCATTGTGGGGGGGGGGGGGGAACACGGGGGGGGGGGGGGGGGAACTAATGGTGCACAGGGAGGGTGATGGGTGCAGCAGGGGAGGCAATTACTGGAACCGATCCCCTGTATGGCTCTCTCTCTGCAGCAACTGAAAGCCAGCCAGGGGAGAGAGAAGAAGCCAGCTTTCAGCTGCTGCCAGTAGAGCTATACAGGGGATCGATTCGAGTAATCCCCCCCCGGCCATGCTGATCACCCTCCCTGCCCACATCCGATTCACCCCCCTTACAGAAGGTCGGTGGTACCCTCCCTTATCCACAGTCCTGCAGTCTCCCGAGATGTGTGACGGGGGTTTGGCAGAGGGCTGAGGGAGCAGAACAAGTAATTTTGGCCTAGGCCAGAATGATGTGGGGGGGGGGGTACTCTTTTTATTAGAGAAGGGGATGGGTGGTGGTGGCATAGAGCCAAACTTTATTTGCTGAATAAAGTCAACTTCATAGTGGCCTCATCTCTCCTGCCATCCCCACAGCTAATTGTTTCCTCAGAAACCAACACTTCCAAGAGTGTCATTCTTCTGGTGCCCCGCAGTGCTCAGTGGTCCCTTGATCTGATGCCATTGTCCCTACAGGACACTTAAAGGATAAAAATGAAGAATAAATGTTATTCTTACATAAGATGCACTTATCCTGCCTCCAACCTAAAGTAACCCACCTTCTTTCGCCCCCCCCCCATACCTACCTGAATTTTAAAGCCGAGACCTTCAGATCTGGTGCTTGCCTGCTATAGTAGGCTGCTGAAGGCCTGAAGTCCAACTACTACCTTCCACAAACCATGACTAGACCCGAGCCTCACTTCATCATCCTGCATGTATAGGGAAGATACTTGGTCACACCAGGACCTAACTACTGACGCATTCACCCAAAAGGCCTAATCATAGGACTGTCCTTAGGATTAAGCCCTAGACATGAAGGCCTGAAGTCCAACTCTTACCTTCCACAAACCATGACTAGACCTGAGCCTCACTTCATCATCCTGCATGTATAGGGAAGATACATGGCCATACCAGGACCTAACTATTGAGGCATTTCACCCAAAAGGCCTAATCATAGGACTGTCCTTAAGATTAAGTCCTAGACGTGAAGGCCTGAAGTCCAACTCTTACCTTCCACAAACCATGACTAGACCCGAGCCTCACTTCGTCATCCTGCATGTATAGGGAATTGTCATACTAGAAGATACATGGTCACACCAGGACCTAACTACTGACGCATTCACTCAAAAGGCCTCATCATAGGACTGTCCTTAAGATTAAGTCCTAGACGTGAAGGCCTGAAGTCCAACTCTTACCTTCCACAAACCATGACTAGACCCGAGCCTCACTTCATCATCCTGCATGTATAGGGAATTGTCATACTAGAAGATACATGGTCACACCAGGACCTAACTAGTGACGCATTCACTCAAAAGGCCTCATCATAGGACTGTCCTTAGGATTAAGTTCTAGAGGTGAAATGCGTCAGAGAGTGAGGTCTTGGTGGGACCATGTCTCTTCTAGTACAATCCCCTATACATGCTGGAAGACAGAGTGCTGCTTCATTCATTGATCTTGGTCCATGCGAAGGTTTAATTCAAGTCTACTCAACAGAACATAAAGGGAGATGCCGATTTATTGCACACATCATATATGATGAATAAGTGGGCGGAGCATTCCTGGGGTCCCCACCCTCTATCCTGTGCCCAGGTGGAGTTGCACCCTCTGCACCCCTTGTAGTTACACCCCAGTATAAGCATGCAGTACATAAGTCGGACTGACTCTCCAGAAAGGATTCTGAACTTGTTAAATTGTAGAAAAGTCAAATGTTATCCACGTACGTTCCACCAGTTTCTGGATGATCTCATGCCTCTGCTCCTGTTTTCTGTTATAGCGCAGGAATATACACAGCGTCCGGCTCGCCGCTTTCTGCACCGGTAGCACGTTCTGGAAACAGAGAAGTATTTTCATCATCACACGCCATTTTTAACCACTTCCCGACCGGCTGTTGTATATAAACGGCCAGTTGGTGGCAGTGTAGAGTCGGGTGGATGTTTATAAACGGCCTCCCCGCCCCCTGCTTGTGCACGCTTCCTGGGAGTGCGCAGCACCGCGATCCAGTGCCCGCTGTGTCCTCCGGACACAGTGGAACACCGATCGTCATACAGGACCTCTGTGTGAGGTCCTGATCATGTGATCACTGATTGGCCAATCAGTGATCACATGCAGAGTAGTAAGGAACATGTCACTTCTGACATCATTGCTTACTACGTGTGGAATCTGTGAATGATCACAGAGATCACATGGTATAGGGCTATTCACAACAGCCTTGTACCATGTGACAAGCTGTGACCAATCACAGCTCACACAGTAGTTCTCAATGGCTGCAGGAATGCAGCTAGAGAGAAGGAGAAATTATTGCTTTTACATCCTTAATGGGTGTAAAAGCAATCAGTGTAAAAAAAAAAACAAATCATCACCCCCCACAAGTAGTACAGTGTCACCATGGTGACCCTGTACTGCTAGGGTGACAGTATGTAAAAAAAATAATAATAATAAATAAATAATAATATAAAAAAATAAAATAAAATGTTTAAAAATGATAATTTTTGGTTATAAACTAATTTGGGTTATTTTTTTTTTTACTGAAAAGATAACGGAATAAATTTGGCCAAGATTTATTTTTTTGGACTTTTTCATTTACATAGCAAAAAAAAATAAAAACCCCAGCGGGGAATAAATACCACCAAAATAAAGCTTTATCCGTCTCAAAAAAATGCTAAATAATTCATATGGGTACAGTGTTGCAGGAAGGGGGGGGGGGAGTGTCCGGACTGGAAGGGGGGGAAATTGTCCGGACTGGAAGGGGGGGGGGAAAGTGTCCGGACTGGAAGGGGGGGGGGAAAGTGTCCGGACTGGAAGGGGGGGGGAAAGTGTCCGGACTGGAAGGGGGGGAAAGTGTCCGGACTGGAAGGGGGGGAAAGTGTCCGGACTGGAAGGGGGGGAAGTGTCCGGACTGGAAGGGGCTGAAAGTGTCCGGACTGGAAGGGGGGGAAAGTGTCCGGACTGGAAGGGGGGGAAAGTGTCCGGACTGTAAGGGGGGAAAGTGTCCGGACTGGAAGGGGGGGAAAGTGTCCGGACTGTAAGGGGGGGAAAGTGTCCGGACTGGAAGGGGGGAAAGTGTCCGGACTGGAAGGGGGGAAAGTGTCTGGACTGGAAGGGGGGGAAAGTGTCTGGACTGGAAGGGGGGGAAAGTGTCCGGGCTGGAAGGGGGGAAAGTGTCCGGGCTGGAAGGGGGGAAAGTGTCCGGGCTGGAAGGGGGGGAAAGTGTCTGGACTGGAAGGGGGGGAAAGTGTCCGGACTGGAAGGGGGTGAAAGTATCCGGACTGGAAGGGGGGGAAAGTGTCCGGACTGGAAGGGGGGGAAAGTGTCCGGACTAGAAGGGGGGGAAAGTGTCTGGACTGGAAGGGGGGGAAAGTGTCTGGACTGGAAGGCGGGGGAAGTGTCTGGACTGGAAGGGGGGGAAGTGTCTGGACTGGAAGGGGGGGAAAGTGTCCAGACTGGAAGGGGGGGAAAGTGTCTGGATTGGAAGGGGGGTGAAAGTGTCCGGACTGGAAGGGGGGGGGGTAAAGGTGTCCGGACTGGAAGAGGGAGAAAGTGTCCGGACTGGAAGGGGAGGGGAAATCCTGGAGATGATCATGGAAGGAGGAGACAAGAGATCTAGAGAGAAGAAGGTCTTGGGAGGAGCGGAAAGGATGGTTTGGGTGATATATTGAGACAAGATTTATGAAGTAGCTCAGGGTGGAGGCCAGTGGAGGGATCGGCAGAGAGGGGTGGAGGACACTAAATGGAGGCCAGTGGAGGGATCGGCAGAGAGGGGTGGAGGACACTAAATGGAGGCCAGTGGAGGGATTGGCAGAGAGGGGTGGAGGACACTGAGTGGTTTGGTAAGGTGGATGAGTCTGGCAGCAGCATTTATGATAGACTGGAGAGGGGATAGCCTACATAGAGGTTGGAGGTCAGTGGAGGGATTGACAGAGGGGGGTGGAGGACACTGAATGGAGACTAGTGGAGGGATTGGCAGAGAGGGGTGGAGGACACTGAATGGAGACTAGTGGAGGGATTGGCAGAGAGGGGTGGAGGACACTGAATGGAGACTAGTGGAGGGATTGGCAGAGAGGGGTGGAGGACACTGCGCATGAGCACAACAGGTGTACAGACCCCATAACTCAGCACAAGGATGGTGGGAACCCCTCATAATGGACACAGCAGGTGTACAGACCCGGGAACTCAGCACAGGGATGGTGGGAACCCCATATATTGGACACAGCAGGTGTACAGACCCGGGGACGCCTCAGTACATCCTATCAGATGGTGTACACAGAAGATCCTTCTTACGTTGGATAAAATGATGGTGAACATTCTGTGCAGGAAGCGATAATAGATCTGATCGCTGGAAATGATGTGCGGCAGGCAGGAGAACTTCTGCAGTAGCTTCTCATGGCTGCGCCATTTCAGGTTGCTGGCGACTCGCTGCTCCGCCGAGGTCAGTGCCGGGACCAGGTCAGGTACAATCATCAGCTGGAAGACAAACAGCAACTGTGAATGGATGGGTCCTATGTAGATATCACAATCTGCCACTAGAGGGAACCATACTACAGGCTACCGGGCATATCAGTGACTGGAGGAGCTCTGATCATTAGGAGTTCCAAGTAGCAGAAATCTCCCACCAGGCATGGGGGAGGGGCCGGGGGGGGGGGGGTCTATAGGGACCACATCAGACAGCCAAGATCAAAAAGGGAAGTTCGTTTTGACAGATATTAGCTATGGGGGATCCATAGTTTTCTCATGACAAATTGTTTACAGGCGAAATGATAGATTCTAATTAAAGACGAATTCCAGGATGCGTGATAATAGCACAGTGCGCCCGGATATATATATATTTTTTTTATTTTTATTTTTTTTTATTTTTTTTTTTTAATATATTTGTATTTTATTTTTATTTATTTATTATTATAATTTTTTTTTACAAAATTATGGAACAATACCAAAAAAAAAAAGTAAAGATGTGATCACATGACCAGACCTTTCCTCCATATACCCGACATCAGAAGGAGTAGCGCCACCATGCTACTACAAGTCAATGGCCAGAGGATTCGGGGGGGGCGTGTCCTCGTGTCTTATACCTGATAGGAGGCCACTGATGGAAATGTATTTATTAGACCAATGTACACAGATCTTCACCTTCACATCAGTCCCCGCGGTCAAGGAGCTTACAATCTACAGTCCCTATGGCACATGCCTGCACATGCTAGGGCCAATTAACCCACCAGCGTGCCTTTGGGCTGTGGAAAGAAATCAGAGGACCCAGAGGAAACCCAAACAAATTCAACGCAAGCATGGGGAGAGCATGCAAACTCCATGCAGATAGTGTCCTGACCAGGATTCCAAGCAGGGACGCCAGTTGCGAGCCTTCCGAAACGCACGTCCAGATGGGTGAGGGGTGGATGGGTGTCGTCATTAAAGAGACAATGTTCCCCTCCCCACTAAGAATGCATTCACACTTGAGCATTGAATGCGTTTTTTTTTTTTTTTTTTTCATTTGTATGCGCGTTTTTTTAGCAGTTTTGTGCAGCATTTTTAAAGTATTTTTGAGCTTTGGCGGTTTTTTTATTAGCCAGTAGAGAAAAATATTGTATATATTAGAGCAAACTGTTGGCGCTATATAAATCCTATATAATAATAACAATAATTTGCTATGTTTTTCAGCTTTTTCATCCGCTCTTATTATATATATAAAATATATATTTATATAATAAAAGCAGATTAAAAAGCTGAAAAATATAGCAGCAAAGTATTGTTATTATACAGGATTTATTATATTTATCTATCTTATATATATATATATATATATATATATATATATATATATATATATATATATGTGTGTGTGTGTGTATATATATATTTATTTTATTTTATTTTACATTTTTGGTTGGGGGTTAAATTATTTATTAATTATTTTTTTTTGGTTGGGGGTTTAAATTATTTATTTATTATTTATTTATGCAATCTTTTTTTTTTTCAAATTTTTTTTCGGTTAGGGGTTAAATTGTTTATTATTTATTTATGTAAACGTTTTTTTAAAAAAGTTTTGTTAGGGCGTTAGGGGTTCATTTCTTTATTTTATATATTTATTATTATTATTATTATTTATTTTGTTAGGTTAGGGGTTAGGGATATTAGGGTTTGGGGATAGGGTTATTTTTTATATTAATATTATTATTTGTTGTTTTATTTATTTTTTTAGGTTAAGGGTTAGGGTAACGGAGTAATATTAGGGTTTAGGGTTAGAGTTTATTTATTTTATTTATTTATTATTATTATTATTTTTATTTATGTATGTATTTTATTTGACATTATTATTATTAATAGCAATAATACTGTATTTATGTATCTATTTATTTTTTATTTATTTATTGCATTTGAGCAGAAAAATCATCAATCAAAAAAAACATGAAAATCTGGGGGAAAAAATGTTTCAAAAACACAGCAATCTGCCTGATTCGAGCTCCAGAAAAAGCTCCAGAAATGTTTTGAGCTTCAGGCGTTTGGCTTCTGGTGACTTGACGTGGAGATATGAACCCTCTCCATTGAGAAAAAATTTTTTTTTCCCTCCAGCGTTTTGGAGCTTCGAACTACAAAACTCTCAGGTGTGACTGTGATGGTGTTTCTTTAAGGAGGGAACAATACAAGAGAAGGCCAGCTGACCAGCTGACATGGGCACTGTCACATGCGCAGATATTGGTGCACAGATCTAGACCTGGAGTCACAGTCAGGTGTGCACATGCGCAGATATTGGTGCACGGATCTAGACCTGGAGTCACAGTCAGGTGTGCACATGCGCAGATATTGGTGCACGGATCTAGACCTGGAGTCACAGTCAGGTGTGCACATGCGCAGATATTGGTGCACGGATCTAGACCTGGAGTCACAGTCAGGTGTGCACATGCGCAGATATTGGTGCACGGATCTAGACCTGGAGTCACAGTCAGGTGTGCACATGCGCAGATATTGGTGCACGGATCTAGACCTGGAGTCACAGTCAGGTGTGCACATGCGCAGATATTGGTGCACGGATCTAGACCTGGAGTCAGAGTCGGGTATGCACATGCGCAGATATTAGTGCATGGGTCTAGACCTGGAGTCACAGTCAGGAGTGCACATGCGCAGATATTGGTGCATGGATCTAGACCTGGAGTCATAGTCAGGTGTGCACATGCGCAGATATTGTTGCACGGATCTAGACCTGGAGTCGGAGTCAGGTGTGCACATGCGCAGATATTAGTGCATAGGTCTAGACCTGGAGTCACAGCCAGGTGTGCACATGCGCAGATATTGGTGCATGGATCTAGACCTGGAGTCATAGTCAGGTGTGCACATGCGCAGATATTGTTGCACGGATCTAGACCTGGAGTCGGAGTCAGGTGTGCACATGCGCAGATATTAGTGCATGGGTCTAGACCTGGAGTCACAGTCAGGTGTGCACATGCGCAGATATTGGTGCATGGATCTAGACCTGGAGTCATAGTCAGGTGTGCACATGTGCAGATATTGGTGCATGGATCTAGACCTGGAGTCACAGCCAGGTGTGCACATGCGCAGATATTGTTGCACGGATCTAGACCTGGAGTCGGAGTCAGGTGTGTACATGCGCAGATATTGTTGCACGGATCTAGACCTGGAGTCGGAGTCAGGTGTGCACATGCACAGATATTGGTGCACGGATCTAGACCTGGAGTCGGAGTCAGGTGTGCACATGCGCAGATATTGGTGCACGGATCTAGACCTGGAGTCAGAGTCAGGTGTGCACATGCACAGATATTGGTGCACGGATCTAGACCTGGAGTCAGAGTCAGGTATGCACATGCACAGATATTGGTGCACGGATCTAGACCTGGAGTCAGAGTCAGGTGTGCACATGCGCAGATATTGGTGCACGGATCTAGACCTGGAGTCGGAGTCAGGTGTGCACATGCACAGATATTGGTGCACGGATCTAGACCTGGAGTCAGAGTCAGGTGTGCACATGCGCAGATATTGGTGCACGGATCTAGACCTGGAGTCAGAGTCAGGTGTGCACATGCGCAGGTGTCAGCTGGCCAACTGGTCTTCTCTTACACCCTGACAGCCCAGCCATCGGTAAGGTTGGGTGATGCCGGGTGTCGTGGAATTCAGAGGTACAACAGGAAACATAGAAACGAGTGGAACTTATGAGTTACACGGACCGGGGGGAGTGAGGAAACACCCCCCCCCCCACACACACACATTTACCCCGAGTGTGTTCCAAACATTGCCTGCAAATGCAAAACCAGACCAGCTTATACATGCTCCTACTATGTACCCGCCCTGGTATACACAATCAGAGGGCATCTAAGGAGAGGTCTCCAAACTATGGCCTCCAGCTCTTGAGGAACTACAAGTCCCATGGGGCAGTGCAAGGCTTGACTCAGAGGCAGTGGCATGATGGGATTTTGTAATGCTACCACAGCTGGCCAAGGTGGCCTACCCCTGGGATATGGTAGGGAACAGAAGAAATATGGTGGCAGCTGGAGCGCTATCATCGTGTGGCCATGATGGGACATAGTCATAGTTCAGAGACCTCCATGACCACCATCCAATACTCATCAACAGTGGTTGGAGTTGGCTTTTACGGCCATCAGGGCACTAGGCACGTCTCTTGGGTTCAGGTTCAGCATGGACTTCTTTATGGAGCTCTGGGAAGTTGTTCAATCAAAAACTGTCCTCACCATAGAGCCCCCATAACTGGATTGGTTGGTCAAGTCTTGCCTTAGCAACAAATGGTCAGCTTTTTGACACCTATAAAAATCCCGGCCATCACCCCTGTTGACATTCAGCCATCTTGGCGTCAGTGCTGACCTTGTTATCTAGCCCTGAGTTGTCGCCTCCGCTTGTCATGAGCTCCAGAGTTTCCGGAAGTTGGTCTATTAACCCGTCCAGAACCTGCAAAAAAAAAAAAAGAGGCCGTTGTTAAAGCCAAACTCCAGCCCAAATCTTTTCGTCAGCTTAGGACTGACATAGGAAAAGTCAATACTTTCATCCATTCTTTATTTCTAACCGTGACCCCGGAGATTTCAGCTTAAGCTACTTAGCACTGTAAACAACACGTGAAAAAGAGCCCCCCAGCTCCACCTGCTGGCTGAATACAAAATTAAACATTACATTTCCAAGACTTTAAAGGTGGTAATTGGAGGATAGCATCTCTGTATCATTGTTCCTCAGAAAGCAGCTTAACCCCTTCCCGCCTGAGGGCAAAACAAATCTTAATGCCTAAGCACAATTTTACAACTTTGACCTGTGTTAGTAAAACCGTCTATATCACCACAACTACTTCGTACATCCGGGTGGATTATACCGCATTTTTTTCAGGACAAATTGGGCTTTCATTTGGTGGTAAATGGTAATGGATAGCTCCTGATTTTTATTTTATTAACAAAGGAAAAACTGGCCCAAAATAGTAAAAAAAAAATATTATTTTTTCATTTAGCTGTGTTTCTTGTTACTACCATAACCGACCACCAAAGAACAACCCAAAATAAATTCTCCAGCTCTTGGCGATCGCAGCGATACCATACCATATGTGTGTTATTTGTTGTTTGTACCCGGAGTACGGCCCAGAAACAATAGGGAGCATTTTGTTTTGTTTTGTTTTTACCTAAAACACACTGACACTAACTGACACTGATACCAATTTTAAAAAATCCTGACCTTTGACCCTAACACTAACCCTGACACTGAACTAGGTCAAACCTCGGGGGATTTTTCTTTATTTTTAAATATTTATCTGTTTGGTTTTTTTAAAGAACATTTTTTTTCTGTATGCAATGAGTTAGTGAGATACAATGTATAATACGATGTATATAATGATACAATGTGTAATAGGATGTATATAATGATACAATGTATAATAGATGTATATAATGATACAATGTATAATAGGATGTATATAATGATACAATGTATAATAGGATGTATATAATGATACAATGTGTAATAGGATGCATATAATGATACAATGTATAATAGAATGTATATAATGATACAATGTATAATAGGATGTATATAATGATACAATGTATAATGGAATGTATATAATGATACAATGTATAATAGAATGTATATAATGATACAATGTATAATAGGAAGTATATAATGATACAATGTATAATGGAATGTATATAATGATACAATGTATAATGGAATGTATATAACGATACAATGTATAATAGGATGTATATAACGATACAATGTATAATGGGATGTGTATATAATGATACAATGTATAATGGAATGTATATAAATGATACAATGTATAATGGAATGTATATAATGATACAATGTATAATAGGATGTATATAATGATACAATGTATAATAGGATGTATATAATGATACAATGTATAATAGGATGTATATAATGATACAATGTATAATGGAATGTATATAATGATACAATGTATAATGGAATGTATATAATGATACAATGTATAATAGGATGTATATAATGATACAATGTATAATAGGATGTATATAATGATACAATGTATAATATAATGTATATAATGATACAATGTATAATGGGATGTATATAATGATACAATGTATAATGGGATGTATATAATGATACAATGTATAATAGGATGTATATAATGATACAATGTATAATATAATGTATATAATAATACAATGTATAATAGGATGTATATAATGATACAATGTATAATATGATGTATATAATGATACAATGTATACTAGAATGTATATAATGATACAATGTATACTAGAATGTATATAATGATACAATGTATAATAGGATGTATATAATGATACAATGTATAATAGAATGTATATAATGATACAATGTATAATATAATGTATATAATGATACAATGTATAATATAATGTATATAATGATACAATGTATAATAGAATGTATATGATACAATGTATCTCTCTCCTCCATTCATAGAGGGAAAAAAAACCAAGGGGAGTGGGCAATACAGTGACTGATCACTGTGATAGCCAATCAGAGGCTATCACAGCGATCGGGGTGTATGGGGTGTGCAGGGAGGGTAGCAGGTGTAGGGGCAGGTTATGTCCTTTTAGGGCAGCTCATCCATGGTTAGAACTCAGTGACACCCCGTCTCTGTGGTGGGGGCGCGCTGTGCGGCGAGCATGTGCAAATGTCAGAGAGTCGATCAGGATGACCAGAAGCTCTGAAGGCAATGAATGTATTCACAGGCAGGGAATAACGGGAGATGTGTCAGCAAAGATCACTCAGGTTCAGGGTTCAAAAGCTGGATCTGTTATCCTTACAAGCACATTGATTTTCTGTAAGTTCACTCGATCACCTCCTTAGTTGGGCCCCCTTCCCACCCTGGGCCCCATAGCAGCTGCACTGGCCCGTAGGGTGCTTGCACAATCTGACGGTAATCATATGTATCCTCTGAGCTCTGACACTACAATCACCTCGACATAACCTGGAAATAAATAGAACGATTTTTTTTAGCAAAGCACGTGACTTCCCGCAGGTCCTCTTACCTCTAGTGAGTCATCCTGCAGTAGAGCGACTAGTTCTTTATGTATTAAATACACATTGGATCCTAAGAGTTTACAGACCTAAAAAAAAACAAGAAAAAAGTTTTCAAAGGCCGGCCATACACGGGTCAATTTCCGAGCGATTTTTTTGTTTGAAAATCAGACCTAAGAATAATTGACCGATTTTCGCTCTGTCAGTGGGGCAGTGGCCGATTTTCATGGTTCCTCCCCATTTAGTTTATCGGGCATGCTGGAAAATTTGTGAAAAAACGATCGTTTTTTCGAAATCATTGGTGGCGCCGTCGGATTACAGAACGAACGTTTTCAATTTTCGTTCAAAAAATTGTTAGGAATTCGGGGCACAGATGAAACCCGTTGTCTGAAGCAACCAATCACGTTTAGCGATCATCGGCTGGGAAAAAGAAATCGACTACTTTAGGTCTCAGCTCCGCCTATGCTCCGGGTTTTGGGGGTTTTCATGCATCTTCTTGGCCTTTGTAAAGAAGGATCCCATTGGACGCCGTGATACAGACAGCCGGCATGACCGTCTCATACTCACTTCACAGAAGCCGAGAGCCATGGAGTGTCTGACGGACATGTCCGGGTCGTGGCACAGGCAGAAGAAGGTTGCATACAGTTCTATGTGGAAGTTTTTCACTCCGACAAATACAACCATGGCCTGGAAAAGAGAAGAAATCGGTTAATTAAAACGGTCATTTCTCATACCGGAGTCACATCAATCCAAATTAGAGAGTCATTCCAGCCGACTTTCTTCTTCAGTGTGTTGGATGGAGCGAGGAACGGTCAGAGCAATAAAAGCTCCATATACCATCCTTCAGTGGCAGGAGGTCAGTGCTGGGGGGGGGGGGGGGGGGGTGGGGGGGTGAGAGAGAATGCAGAAAGAATTTCTTCTACCCTGAGACTCTTCTCACACCATCCCTTCCTGAACCTCAACCTCTAACACAAACCTGACCTGCAACCCCAACACTGATCTTCCATGTAACCCCCCCAACAACACTAACCCTCCCTGTAACCCCAACACTAACCCTCCCTGTAATTCCAACACTACTCCCAACTAACCCTCCCCCGTAACCTCAACACTAACCCTCCCCCGTAACCCCCAACCCTCTCTAACCCTCCCCTGTAACCCCAACACTGACCTTCCCTGTAACCCCCAACACTGACCTTCCCTGTAACCCCAACACTGACCTTCCCGGTAACCCCAACACTGACCTTCCCTGTAACCCCAACACTGACCTTCCCTGTAACCCCCAACACTAACCCTCCCTGTAACCCCAACACTGACCTTCCCTGTAACCCCCAACACTAACCCTCCCTGTAACCCCAACACTAACCCCCCCCTGTAACCCCAACACTAACTCTCCCTGTAACCCCAAACACTAATCTTCCCTGTAACCCCAACAATAAGCCTCCCCTAGTAACCCCAACATCAACTCTCCCCCCCCTGTAACCCGAACACTGACCTCCCTGTAACCCCCCAACACTAACCTTCCCTGTAACCCCAACACTAACCCTCCCTGTAACCCACCACTAAACTCTTTCCAAACCCCAACAAAACCCTCCTTGTATACCCCTATCACTACCTTTCCCATAACCCCAACACTAACCCTCCTTGTAACCCCAACACTAACCTCCATTTCCCAGGTAAACCCCAACCTAACACTTCCCTGTAACCCCAACCACTAACCTTCCCTGTAACCCCAACCACTAACACTCTAAACCTTTGTAATCCCAACACCAACTCTCCCTCGTAACCCCAACACCAACCCCTTCCTGTAACCCCCAACACTAACCCTCCCTGTAACCCCCAACACTAACCCTCCCCTTAACCCAACACTAACCTTCCCCTGTAACCCCAACCACCAACCCCTCCCGGTAACCCCAAACCACCAAACACTCTCCCCTGTAACCCCAACACTAAGCCTCCCTGTAACCCCAACCCCTACTAACCCTTTCCCGTAACCCCAACACTAACCCTTCCCCTTGTAACCCCAACACTAACCCTCCCTGTAACCCCAACACTATCCCCTCCCTGTAATCCCAACATCAACTCTCCCTGTAAACCCCAACACTGACCTTCCCTGTACCCCAAACACTAACTAACTTCCCTGTAACCCCAACACTGACCCTCTCTGTAACCCCAACACCAAACACTCTCCCTTTGTAACCCCAACACTGACCTTCCCTGTAACCCCAACACTAACCCTCTCCTGTAACCCCAACACCAACTCTTCCCTGTAACCCCAACACCAACTCTCCCTGTAACCCCAACACTAACCTTCTCTGTAACCCCAACACTGACCTCTCCTGTAACCCCAACACTAACCCTCCCTGTAACCCCAACACTGAACCTCCCCTGTATACCCCAACACTAACCCTCCCTGTAACCCCAACACTGACCTTCCCTGTAACCCCAACACACTATCCCTCCCTGTAACCCCAACACTGACCCCTCCCTGTAACCCCAACACTAACCCTCCCTGTAACCCCAACACTGACCTTCCCTGTAACCCAACACTGACCCTTCCTGTTAACCCAACACTGACCTTCCCCCATGTAACCCCAACACTGACCTTCCCTGTAACCCCAACACTGACCCTCCCTGTAACCCCAACACTGACCCTCCATGTAACCCCAACCACTAACCCTCCCTGTAAACCCCAACACTGACCTTTCCCTGTAACCCAACACTGACCCTTCCTGTAACCCCAACACTAACCCTCCCTGTAACCCCAAACACTGACCTTCCCTGTAACCCAACACTGACCCTCCCTGTAACCCCAACACTGACCTTCCCTGTACCCCCCAACACTGACCTTCCCTGTAACCCCAACACCGACCCTCCCTGTAACTCCAACACTGACCTTCCCTGTAACCGAACACTAACCCTCCCTGTAACACCAACACTGACCTTCCCTGTAACCCCAACACTAACCCTCCCTGTACCCCAACACTAACCCTCCCTGTAACCCCAACACTAACCTTCCCTGTAACCCCAACACTAAGCCTCCCTGTAACCCCAACACTAACCTTTCCCATAACCCCAACACTAACCCTCCTTGTAACCCCAACACTAACCTTTCCCGTAACCCCAACACTAACCTTCCCTGTAACCCCAACACTAACCTCCTGTAACCCCAACACTGACCTTCCCTGTAACCCCAACACTAACCCTCCCTGTAACCCCAACCACTAACCTTCCTGTAACCTCAACACTAACCCTCCCTGTAATCCCAACACCAACTCTCCCTGTAACCCCAACACTAACCCTTCCTGTAACCCCCAACCACTAACCCTCCCTGTAACCCCAACACTAACCCTCCCTGTAACCCCCAACACTAACCTTCCCTGTAACCCCCAACACCAACTCTCCCTGTAACCCCAACACTAAGCCTCCCTGTAACCCCAACACTAACCTTTCCCGTAAACCCCAACACTAACCCTCCATGTAAC